CTAAACAGTGTTACAGTTGTATTGTCAAACTGTTACAGTGTAGTGGTTTGTCACACTGTGACAGTGTAGTGGTGTGTCACACTGTTACAGTGCAGTGGTGTGTCACACTGTTACAGTGTAGTGGTGTGTCACACTGTTACAGTTGTATTGTTACACTGTTACAGTGCAGTGGTGTGTCACACTGTTACAGTGTAGTGGTGTGTCACACTGTTACAGTGCAGTGGTGTGTCACACTGTTACAGTGTAGTGGTGTGTCACACTGTTACAGTGTAGTGGTGTGTCACACTGTGACAGTGTAGTGGTGTGTCACACTGTTACAGTGTAGTGGTGTGTCACACTGTTACAGTTGTATTGTTACACTGTTACAGTGTAGTGGTGTGTCACAGTGTTACAGTGTAGTGGTGTGTCACAGTGTTACAGTGTAGTGGTGTGTCACACTGTTACAGTGCAGTGGTGTGTCACACTGTTACAGTGCAGTGGTGTGTCACACTGTTACAGTGCAGTGGTGTGTCACACTGTTACAGTGTAGTGGTGTGTCACACTGTTACAGTGCAGTGGTGTGTCACACTGTTACAGTGTAGTGGTGTGTCACACTGTTACAGTGCAGTGGTGTGTCACACTGTTACAGTGCAGTGGTGTGTCACACTCTATAAAATGTTACATTTTTTTCTCCGAAGTGGTACTACACACTCCCTATTAGACGATGTTTGTATGTTATTCAACATTAATTACTACCTGAACTTATATTACCGAGCATAACTGAGGTGGCCCGAGTAATTTATTTTTGCTTTTGGTATGATTCTTAAAATGTACCTTCACAGTTCACACATTGTGTTTTGTTGCAGTACACTGTGTTATGTTGTTACAATGTACTCAATGCCACTATCCACAACTGTCTTAATATCGCCCATCTGACGATGATGTTCCTCCTTCCCCACTTCTCCAATTCACAGCTCATTTCATAATACTCTGCTTTCTCAGCAGACAGTTGTTCAAAACCTTGTTCAGTTCGTCGTCTATTTTATCTGAACACACAGACTCAAGAAAAAACAGACATACAGACAAACAGACAAACAGACAAACAGACAAACAGACAAACAGGCAAACAGACAAACAGACAAACAGACAAACAGATAGACAGACAGACAAACATACAAACAGGCAGTACCTGAGTTTGCTAGGCAGCTTACAAACAGGCAGTACCTGAGTTTGCTAGGCAGCATACAAACAGGCAGTACCTGAGTTTGCTAGGCAACATACAAACAGGCAGTACCTGAGTTTGCTAGGCAACATACAAACAGGCAGTACCTGAGTTTGCTAGGCAGCTTACGCTAATTTTGTAGCGTAATCTCGAATGGTTGTGTGCTCGCTAACCTTTCCACCTAGCCACCATGACGTTATGCAGTACCCATAGAAACCAAAATCATGATAAGAGACAGTCAATTATACTGTTATAAATCATCAAAGTAGGTAATATTGTCAAATTCCTGATTATCAAACTCATAATTCCTTGAATGCAAACATATTGACACCCTAAAATAGAGTTCCAAGGTTGTTCCCTTCTTGTAAATATCACAAGCTTCTTTGCAGTTTAACTATTAACTATTAACTATTGCGGTTAATTCACTTCAGCTGAACTGCTAGCGTTCCTCGTAAGTTTAACAAACTTTACGAGCTTCCTTAAATCAATGCAAACTCCAGTATAACTTGGCACCGCCACAGCCGTTACCCAACCCACAGCCTTTACCCAAGCCCTTTTACTGTGTTCTTCTTCACTGCCGATATTATCTGGCTCCCACTCAAACTTAAACCATCTGCATAATCAATATTCAACACGGTCTGCCTTCAGAATCTCTGCACAGAAAATTATATATTATATGTGGGTAGTATAGTGTTGGGTAAAGTTTTTTGCATTTTTCTTAGGCCAGTGAACTTGTTTAATGTCTTTTTCCTTCAGTGATCTGTTGGACTAATCTCCACCAATTGATCTTTTCAAATCTAGTTACACTAAAAATCATGGTTTCTACGAGCAAAAATTATACCATCAATTTGTCCCAAAGGGTTTTCCAATTCGATATGAATATTGAATAATGGTTCGAAAGAATGCGCCAATTCTAATATACTGTAAGTGTGGTTAGTTACGTGTGATGAATCAATATCACAGCGAAAGCCATCAAAATTATCCGACAAATCATGGCATTTAAATCCTCAAAACTGGATGAAATTAGTGGATGCTCATTCTCTAATCTCTCAAATTATATGATTTGAATGTCGAACTTCAAATAAGTTCAGATTCACTCGTGGGAACGGATTGTTTTCCGCGTAGCGCAAATTCGGATGCTTCTTATGATTTATAATTGTTAAGCGTTGGTTTACTCGAACTTCAGTCACTCTTTTCATTTGTACTCCAATCCAATACCATGTGAATTGTGTAGAGGACAGTGGTGTTTGAATAAGCTAATATGAATACTGGGTGAAATTGGTGAACCCTCATTGTCGAGTTAATAATATGATTTGAATGTTGAAACGTGGGGCTTAGATTCAATCTTGAAGATGAAGTTTTCTACATAGTGCATTATATGCTTCTCGTGTATTAAATGATTGCTTAGAATTGAAGTCAAGACAATCTTAATCCAATACCATGACGTGTACTGTATAGTGTACACATACCATGATGTGTACTGTATAGTGTACACATACCATGATGTGTGCTGTGTAGTGTACAGTTGACCATACCCTTTTTATTAAGCATCCTGCGTCACGTGGCCAGCCACAATATTATAAGCTTTTTATGACGAATCCGATATTTTCCTTCGCATTTTCAAATTCATCGGCTATGCATGATACAAAATTAAATAAAAGGATTTAAAATAAGTTTTCCTTGACTCTTCAAGTAGCAGGGAGGATTATGACCCTTCAAGTAGCAGGGAGGATTATGACACTTTTAATCTTCCTGTCACTTTATGGTTCATCTCGCTGTGAGATCATTGTGAATAATGACCGCACAGTACTTTGTGTTTTCCAAATGAAGGACACTTAGAATTGTTGGCTGCCTCATCGTACTTAACACAGTGCTGTTTATTGTTATCTCAGATCAGTGATCTGTAGTTTGTCTTTATGTTGTTAGCTTTGTTCTCCGTTGAGACTATATAGATGTCATATGACCGCTGCTTTTGGTCCCATGGAAAAATATTGTTTCTAGCCGAAATTATCAAAGGTCAGCATCGAGTCTAAAAATCTATCTTCTCCCACATTTTTTGAGGATATGTTCTAGGCACCATTTAGAAGAGATTGCTCAGACAAAATTTTGAGATAGGCTTTTAAAAATTTTGTATTCAGTTTTGAAAATCGTGGACCGTGGTACGAATTCAGAATATCAGTAGACAGTTTTAAATTGAAATGCTCTAGAAACTAGAATCTCTTTAAAATCGCTTAAGTATGCAAAACTACCCTACTGTTTCAACTGCATCGGCAGATAATCTGAGAGGAAATTTTGGGTTTTTGAAGAAATTTGGTAGAGAAAATTTTTTAGGAGACCAGACCTTTTTTAGGGCATGATACATTTTTTGGGGGAAACTTCAATCTGCGAGGAAATTCAAAACTTTCTGATGTAATGTGGGTCTGGGAGAACCACTTCTTAGCAAAACATCACACCAGTATAATTAGAATGGCGATCCTGCATAGTTTTACCAAAATGTTTCTACTGTCCTTTAAAATATTAAAATTCGGGCCTCCTTTTTTGCCGCCCCCTACAGCTTTTTACTGTACCATTAAATACAGAACCATTTTAAGAGCCTAACATATTTATCATACTACAGTCAGTACCCCGTACCGTTATACAGTACCCGTCCGTTAATTAAAGGTGTCACTTTACACACCGATTACGGTATTAAGAACTAGTTCGGTCTTACAGGACAGGTCCTACAACTAGTGTCTGCGTAGTGTACTAGTGTCTGTATATTGAATAATACCTTCCCTTGGTTTGTACGTCGTCACGATGACTGTCCGGTCTGTTTATTTATAGATTTACTGGGTTTTGTAAAGTAGTCTAATTCCAATCGCACGTGTTGTTATAGATTGGGAGGTGTAATTGTGCGAAACCAAGGACAGAGAGAATGGATGTCAGTATTATTGTATTGAATTCTCTCAACCGTTAAATTAAGACGGAAGCTCACGCGGCAAGACATAATTTCTTGATTAAGCCAAATGTGGAACATTAGTTAGCTCTACTCGCAGAATCACGGAGCTTTTTAAATAGATCCACCGCGGCTAGCTTTAATGTCTGTAACATCTTCCCAAATCTGAAAATACCAACAACTTTTACTCGCCAATTGTTGTTAGTTCGTTTCCACAACGTCTAGCTGTGATTGTACGGCTCTATTTATTGTGTCTGAAAATGACCATATATGGGTAATTTTTATCCCTCGTTGCGATGCGAAATTAACACAAATCTTTAAACCTTGTGTGCTATAACTGTCACACATGTCAGTTTGATAAATGACGAATCCTTAACATGGTGATTGTATTTTTATTCATGGGATTCATTACAACTGCAGTAAGTATTTGTAACCCTTCTAACGTACAAACAATTCTTTGGAACACTGAATTGTTGAGGTGATGTAAATTATAATGCTGATAACGATTAACAGTGTATAGAATCTTTTAGACAGTGTACTCGATGTACCGGACTATCATTTGGTTCGGTAATTCCATTTGGATCTGTACCGTCTGCAAATGTAAATGTAATGTATGATTAAGATTTGTATCAGTAAATTAATAAATTTACTGCTCGTTCGGATGAATGATCCTCGTACTAAACTTAAAGAGTCGTTGCTGTAATCCTTGTTATTTATATCTATAGTTAGTGTCCTAAATTATCATAATAACAACTATTTATATTTATAGCTTACAATAACTAAATTTGTCATAATATATGATAATAATAATAACGCTAGGTAAGTATTTGAGTTATCAACAGTTTATTTACTATATCCCACTAGGAAGTCGGGATATCAGTTTAGAAGATGAGACACAGTCTAAGGAGATAAGATACAGAGATAAGGATAGTATATCAGGATCTCCAGATAAGAATAAGATAAGATAGGAGAAGATAAGGGATGGTGATGGATGAACCGAAGTTTGCGACTGTAGTAGCGACACACGACTTTGATCCGGGAACTCTGGGGCTCAACAGAGCAAAGAGCCGTACCCTCCTTGTATATAAAGGTAAGTTTGTGAATGGAAATAACGGTGCTTTATTAGTATAAATTAATGAAACATTATATGCTTTTCTTTATTTTAGATTCTTAAGCCGAAATTGGTGATTTTGGATGGGTGTCTATTTCGCTTTTTCTCCTGTCGTTGCAATGACTGCAAAAGAATAATTCGTGTGATCACAACAAATGGGAAACTCCTATTTCATGTTTAGCACATGAGCCCATCTCCTTCATTTCACTCAATGCTCCTCGGTAGGAGAATACTATTTAAAGTTTAAGTAGTAAACTTGAGCACAGCATCGGGCATCCTCTGCGATAGAATAACCTTGAACGTAAGCACCCGTTACCTTATATAAGTATATACTATATAGTGTAACAGTACGTGTCAGGTAAAGGTGCGATCAGGCAGGTTTCACAATACCACTCAACCCCCTCTCTCTCCAGGCGACAAGTTCAAAGTGTTTTCCATCCCCAACAGGGAGTGGTGGGGTGCAAGGTGCCTGGGTAACGATACCATCGGCTACATCCCCTCTGCTTACGTCAAACCTATCGTAAGTAAAACAAACTAAATTCATTTGTTGAAATTTTCGTAAGACTTAATACTTTTCTTTCTTTTGTTGAAGGTTATTAAGGCTAGCTATTTGTAAATAGAATTTTACGTGTTAAATAAAACCCGGTTTATGCACGAAATCATTTAATTTAAAAGCATAGCAATGTTAATAGCCTTACTTTCTAATAGCTTTGTCCTTAGAATAATGTTCCGATAAATGCGACTTAAGTGAACTGAGATGTTGATCAAGCAAAACGCGTACGTTGAATTTGCGAGTTTCGAACCGAGGCAGTCGAATAAATTTTCAATTTTCTAACTTTGGATTGCACAAAGCTTTACTAATATGTTAACCCTGGCACAAATTACTTTTTTATGTCGTGTTTTTACCCATTTCAACACCTTTAATGCTGTCATAAGAATCGTGTCCATGATGCGCAGAATTTTAGAAAACAAACATCGATATTATCGTATTATTTGTTATTCCTAATTTAAAGCTTATTATATATTTCGCATATGCTAACTATTTTCGATACTCTGTGTTGAATTTAATGTCTCGACTCAATCTTACAGTTTTAATTTATGCTCATCGAATATTTATTCTTTGTAAAATGCCACAGAACCATATTTGTAATACAATCTCTCCCGATAGCCACTAATTGCCCTCTAAACCCGCCCTCGCTACAATCCAATATCTCTCCGGTTCGCTTCACCCTCACTTATTTTCTGGTCGCAATAAATATACAGATGAACTCGTACGCCACTACTCCCTCTCATTCACGGGGAAGCTGTCAAAATTAGATATCGCCTACATTATATTCGTTGAGAACATGAGTTTTAGGAGTTCTCTTGTAGGTAAACTTGTGAAACTGTCAAGACATCAGTCGCTCTTCCGACCGAATTTTTACGATCAATTTGTCTTGCCGAGAAAAATGCAGTTCCTCCGAGCTCGTTTTAATACCCATTAAAGATGCTGATACCCTTGTAAGTTCTAATGACAAGCTCTCTGGATATTGTGGCAGTTTTGTTATGTGTATAAACCCGCATTTAAACCATTGAGTTGTGACACGTGTGGACGCTTAAACCACCCAGAACCCCAACTCAGCAGTTCTTGAGAACTCCTCTAACTTTGACCACGTGATTCTCGTATTATATCACGTGATACCTATACTCGCCCACGTGACGGTTGTAGTGGGCCCACGTGGGAGGGAGTTAGTGTGTGATGTCACCATGACAAGACGCTATCTCCCGGTAAAGTTGTATGGATTTTATTCCACTACCTTACTACTATTGTTTCCTCTGAGGTAATCCTCCGACTAAGTTTGTCTGATCCTCTTTAATTTTTTTCAGTATTGTATCCGAGTTTTCTTTGTTGTTTCGAGGCTTTATATAATTGTAATTTTGATAATTGCGAGGGATACTTGAAGTCTTTCCGCATGCCTATTCCATATTCCCCTTTCAGTTTTTAAAAGTCTAAAACATAGCTTTTTTTAAATCCCGTCCAGTTCTAGTTATAACATATTGCAGTGTATTGGAGTTCTAGTTATAACATAAGGGAGGGGTTAGTGTTACGCCATTTTGCCACTTACTTTTGGGAACTGTTTAAATAAAAACGGCGGGAAATTTATTAATTCATCGCTAATTTTTCGTCACGAATGGATAAACAATTGCTATATCTCTATATTTGAACACTTTAAATTGAAAAACATCGAAAATTTGACCCGAATGTTTAAAGAGGACTAAAAATCGATAAAATCGTTTTTTCTAATCGCTCAAAACTTTGTGTTTGAAACGTTTCAAGAAACTGAAACACGAATAGGTATTAGTCATAATTAGTCATTCAATGGGACATAGTTAAAATCCTTTAAAAGCAGTCGTTCCATCTGCCCGCACCATACTGACGAATATGAATTGTTTGTTTGTAAAAACTGTCGGGACACACTGTATCTCTTATTGTGTTTTGTTTACTGTTCATTGTTTATTGTTTATTGTTTATAGCATAGAGTGTAGATGTGGATTCTGGCGAGGCATATTTTTTGACACGTGACAGTTATTCTGCGGTTCGATTTCTCAATAGTCGAAGCTAAATAGTTAACTTCTGTCAAAAACAATATACATCACCTCCCCACTAGTATCCACATCTATAGTGCACAGAGCACCGAGCATAAAGCACCGAGCAATAGCATAGAGCAGGGAATCTCCCTGGGATTCTCGCAGCATGGTTTGTAAACGTGCACTAAGGAAGAAGGGGTGAAAATTGACATCTTGATCTAAAATTACTATCTAGACTTATAAATTGGACGCTTCTCCCACATCAGAGATTTCTCAATTTGTCGTTCTTCGTCTGGGATTTCTGATAGATATTACCTGTTACTTGATTGTTACGCTGTAATTCCTGTCATCTCTGAAGAATCAGTTTGTTGAGCTAAACTTTATTTTGCTGCTATCAGCTTCCCCGCGTTTATTTTTAAGAACCTTCAAGTTAATTAACTAATAGTTTTTTTGGATTATTTGTTGTTTCCCTTCACTAGACTAATGATTTATTTTTATTTATAACGTAATTTTAGACTGAAAACTTCCCAACAACCAAACAAATTGTCTATTTTCTACCTCAAAAACACCGCTCTAAAGTGTCAATTGCTGGTTGTCATGGCAATGATTATCGCTTGTTAAACTTATTAAACTTATTAAGTGTCTAAGTACGATGTCTTAGACCTGTACGTGAGTTTTAGGAAATCTGAAGCAGTAACGTTATTCTTTTTTATATGGTCACCGGTATCTGACCTCGCTGGAGGCAGGAAGCCTTTTACAGGGTCCCCTGAGACTATCTGGCGAGCACTGAACTGTTCTTACTGGCCGCCATGTTGGTCAACAAACGAAATCGGTCACTTTGTTTTAATATTTACTTCGTTACTTTAACTTAATACGCCTAATTTATATCTCTGGTGGCATTCCTATAATATTACAACACTCTACAGCACTGGATTAAGAAGGCAATCACTTAGTTTTAATAAAGCCAGTTATTAATAGTAATCACTCGTGTTACTTTGATCTGGTTCCCTGCGAAATAGAGCTTATTACGAGAGTCGAGACCACACACACACACACACACACACAAACTGTTACAGCAGCACAACACTGAATCTTATATCAGTGTCTCTCTTATCTGAGTTACAGCTCTTGTATGGTGTGCCCCGTTGTTGCTGCGTGGTGTTGTATGGTGGTGTAACCCCTGAAGATTAGCCCGGTATCTTGGTGGACAGGTATTGTAATGATTCCACCAACTACTGCTACTACACGTATACACTACTGTCACCACCACTGCCACTATCACATACATGTGTCCCGTTATTGTGCACAGTGCACACTTGACGCGCAAGTTATCGGTTTAAAACACTCGCCTTACGGTCTCTACCCCAGACAACGAGGGTATTCTCCGATAATGATACCCGGGGCGATATCAGGTCTATTTAGAAACTTGGTGCTATATTATATGATCATGGTGTATGTGTTGATTTGAGAGGCTCCTTTATTTGGGGTTACGGGAGGAGTTGGTGATATGACACAACTTTCAATATTCGTCAAGTAAATAGGTACGTGGTCTTCCTCGCCAGAAATATCGATATTCTTCCGAACATTGATTAAAATGGTTGAGGGTGTCAATGCTTTTTAAACCGCCGAATTCCTGAATCATGATTTCATCATTTTAAATGGTGTTCAAAACAAAAACGATAGGTCACTTTTCAACTTGTTTCATTAATATTAATGTTTTTAAAACTACGAGACATTTTAAGGTTGTACACTGGCAACGACAAAATCATCAAGGTGTTTTAACTTCCGTTTAGATTCTATTAGAAGGTTGTAGGCACGTGAAGGTAAAATCATGCCCACGCCCCACATTCGCCATATAGCTGGTATTGATTTGAACACATTTTGCAATCAGCAGCAGGAAAAAGATTTGCATTTTGCGCTCATACAATTGTTCGCTTGTTTTCTCGATATGTTGCCAAATTCAATACGGATGCCAAAACATTTGGAACCTGTCCAAAGTTGGATTTACTAAATATTTGGTACTTTACCGGAAGTATTGTAGCGGGTATTGGCAACTAGATCAGATCAACAGAAGCTACCTGGTATCTTTAGGAATGTTACTAAATGAACTGTCAGAAGAATAGAAAGCCGGGCCGTGTTCGGCCCCTATATACTACAACCAGGCGTTCAATTTAGTGCTAGGGTCAAAATAGTACTGTATTAAAACACCCTTTGTGAGTTGAACAATTTCTATGATTGAGAGCTTTTGATTGGCCTATCAGATGAACGCGGTGATAGAATACCATATCGACCCACAATGCAAAGCTGGGTTGCTCGAAACATTCCGATCATAATATCTGAGACCTGGAACCCAGCTCAGTTCGGTATGTATCTGGTACGGGGTGTGGACTACAGTACTGGTAGATTATAAATCTCTGATATGAGTTTATTCCCATCCATAGTTATCAGCGGGTCTTTTAAAAACTGTTTCAAGTTAAGTAATACGCAAAACCTACTGGCTGGCGGGGTGAGAACTGTGCCCATTTTTATTTAGGATAATAATGATCTGAGTAATTGCTTTTTCCTTGAGTAGGTGTTGACAGCAATGTGTTCTGCCCAATACTTGTGTTTTTGGGTTAACAGTAACAATTTCCTGCCCTTCAATATTGAAAACCTTCCGTTGCCACCCCGTCAAAATGCGAGTGTTTTTGAGTAAATGGAATAGTATCCTGCTCTCTAATATAGAAACAGTCTCCAGATGCACCTGTGCGCTGTATGAATCATACTAACTGTTTTTAAGGAAACGTTACCGCCCACTCCAACAAAATAAGAGATAAAAAACTTCCGTGAAGGAGTGATATCTATAGAGCTTTCAGAATCACTTATCCATAAATTCGTACTCTCTTAGTACTGATTTGGTGCTCTCTGCATATTATTATTAGAAACATTCTCTCTCACTCCTGCCAATTTTCTGATCCAAAATATGGGGTTACGTAATTTGTTGTTGTTATAGTTACCAAAATTTGAGGTATTTGTTACCAGGGTATATGCTGAGTTGACAGAATTTTGTTGTTTCTGTGCTGCTCATAATTTTAGGGCACAGAGGACACTTCGGCATTCAACTATCCATACTGATTCCATTTTCTCACGTTTTTCCATCATAAGTTACCTAGCATGCTGATTATAATTAGTAATTTAAATTACTGCAGCGAATAGTCTGCAGTCCAAAGCTTTGTGTTGTTCTAATTGATAAAGTGCATATATTTCTGAGAATCACACACTAAAATTCTGTCTGTTATAGATAAAAAGGTCAGCATTCCACAAATATTTAGATCTTGAGAAACTATTTGCATTTGAGTATTTGAATACAGGCAATATAACACAGTCTGACTTACCGCAAACTGCTGAGTAACAAATATACTTGACTGCATCTTAGTTCAATTGTACATGGTCCGCGTTTTGACCAAATAAGGTAAACTTAGAACGAAAGTTGACTCAGAGTCAAGCTTCGAGAGTGGGCTATTTTAAACGGGTTCATTAATTTTGCGAGAGCGATATTCATTGTCCTAACAAGATTCCAACAATGAACAAACCGATATTTAGTTTGACTCCTCGCCGTGGTCTGACTTATTACCAAATAAGGTATTGATCATCCTGCACTCTATTTCCTCTTACTCGTTAATGAGATAGTCTAATTTTGCAAAGCAGTCTATTATGTAATGATTGTGCAAGGATTATGTAAGAGTTGTGGTCAGCCCCTCCAGGCAAGTAAATATTGTGACGGAGGGACAAGCGTGATTGAATCTCGCGATCTGACGCTAGTCACGACTGAAATACACAGTTTAATTGAATTTGCTAGACATTGCACCTTTACATTCTCTGACTGTGGCTAATTATCTCAGTGCGATCATTTCACTGTGCTGGTATTTGTTGTGTGTGTAGTTGGAATTTGTTGTGTGTAGTTCCGCGGAGAAGAGTACTCCTTATTCTCACATACTGTATGTGTATTTCTCACATATTGCGTGCGTGTGAAATGTGATTGTTTCTTACGCTGCACCTAGTAACTAGTTCGCTCCATATCACGTTTTTAATTTCGTGGAATATTCTCGAATAGTCCACCTGTGTAGTGTGTAGTGTCACTTCACAGTTCACTTCCTCTTTTGACATTGTCACTCTTCTGAGGAATATAATCGTGGTGTTTTCAGCACAGTTCTGCGTAATGTTAATTAATATTGCACTGTTAGTCGGAAGTACAAAGTAGAAAACAACTCCTCCAATTCTTAAGATGAGATACGTCTCACACATAACGTATATATCAGGACATTCCTCTCACTTTCTAGCAAGCTTGCTTTAAGGATTGTGTCTTGCTGGGGTCGGTACTTGTAATCTGATATTACCTCTTGGCTCTTACAGTGCAACGTGCCATTGTAATTTGTTAGGGCGGAACTTTGTTTAAATTTTGTAATTTACTTGATTATCCTGCCAGTGTCCTTGTAGTTTGGTACTGTGTAGTTTGGTACTGTGTAGTTTGGTACTGTGTAGTTTGTGTGTGGGTTATGTTTCTTTCCTTTGGTCATTGCAGTTCTCCGGTATCCAGTAATACTTTCTCCTTTTGGCTTTTTAGCATCATGCGAGATTATCGGGTCAAATTCTGTGGAATATTACTCTGTATATTTTACTGGTAACTGTTAGCTAACACAGCTCTATTGCACGTCCAACTCTTTAACTTTATTTAAAAGTAAAGGAGTATTTTATTAGATTTAATATGGACAATGAGTTATTATCAACAAAATAATTCCCTGTTTTTCCTTATCATTAAAATTAGATTACGATCAAGTTACTCTCAGTAACGTCATTACTGTACTCAGGAATCTTAAGATTTCGCGTACCGCTCAGTATTAAGTCACATCAACTCCTTTATGTTTTTTATCGTTTGTATGAGATTGTCCATTAGTGTAGTAACTGTGCTTTGTGATCATTTGATGCCGCTCATCGCTGTTATTTTGTCTGTTAACTGACTTTAGCAGGGGTGTTAACATATTATATAGTGTTAACATGGTTCGTCTCTTATTTTCCTCTGTTTCCGTCCCCCTCTAAGTATTTTAATCCTTTCTCCCTGAACTCCCTTGACAGTTGTGATTTGTACGTGGGCCGATATATTTTGACATCTCTAAATAAGCGAAATAGTCCATTTTTAACTTACACCACTCAACTAACAACAATAGATTAAGATTTGAGAGTGTTAATTTACTAATCCCGGAAGAACGTCATGGACAACTGGAGGTCACGTCGTTAACAGATTGTCACTCAGCAACTCATATGTTGTTGTTACAGTCTTTGTAGCCTGACTTCAGATTTAGCGGGGGAAGGAAGTTAGAGCAAGTTGACGTGCCAGCTCCCCCCGTCCGATGATTTCCATTTTCCTGGATCATCTAACAGCTGAGTGGTTCCCAGTTCAGTGAGTCTCACAAAATATGCCCGAAATTTGTCTGGACGCCATTTATTAGAACAAAGTATGCGGAGTATTGCGATGCATATTTGGCTGGTCGTCAATTAGTTGAAGCTGTTCCTCTTTGAGTTTGAGGCCGTTTTTTTTAGTCAGTTGTCTGGTAGTTTAAGAAAGGTTTTTTTAATATTATTTTTTCGTGCAACATTTTTATTGAAAACTATTTAATTCTTCCCAGTACACCGTCCTCACTATCTTTTTAACCCCATTTATAATAGAAAAACTTAAAAACTAATTAAACAAAATTCAAAAATCCGCGGTTTCAGCTAAGTTCAACAACAAAATAATAACCACCTGCACCCGTAAAAAGCACATTTATAACGTTTAAAAAAGAGGAGTATAACGTTTAAAAAAGAGGAGTATAACGTTTAAAAAAGAGGAGTATAACGTTTAAAAAAGAGGAGTATAACGTTTAAAAAAGAGGAGTATAACGTTTAAAAAAGAGGAGTATAACGTTTAAAAAAGAGGAGTATAACGTTCAAAAAAAAGAAGTATAACGTTTAAAAAAGAGGAGTATAACGTTTAAAAAAGAGGAGTATAACGTTTAAAAAAGAGGAGTATAACGTTTAAAAAAGAGGAGTATAACGTTTAAAAAAGAGGAGTATAACGTTTAAAAAAGAGGAGTATAACGTTTAAAAAAGAGGAGCATAACGTTTAAAACAAGGATTTTATAACAGATCCTATTACTGCACACAGGATCCAGCGGATCAAGAGCACATAAACAGCAGACAGGTAGCTTAACTTCTATCCGGGAGAGTAATTAGTGCATGCAATTTAATTAACGGTGACAGACGGCAGTGTAAGATCAGTTAACTGTCAAGTAATCGCAATTAGCACGGTTATACTCAGCAATTCTCAGCAGTTTCTTTGGCATGATTGATTAAGATACTGTCAGTTTATATATATGAGAGGCATGGTGCTGATTTCGCAGTACAGTTAAGATAGCTTGTAGTTGGGGTAGTTAAATGCTTCTCTCTTACCGATTTGTAATTAAAAAGAGCTGAAATTTGTATTAGTAAAATTTTCTGCAAGTTTAACAGCAGCTATTTTTAATCCTTGTTACAGCGCATGATGCGATCAGCTGCACATCTTTGATTTTTATCTCCCTTTCTAAAAGGATGGGTATAGATGGTTTCCCCGATTTAACCATATAATGTCAGATTACGGCAGGTGTTGTAAGTCGAGTAGATCTCCAAGTAATCCAGCTGACATAAAGTTAATTTTGGGCCACCCTGTATAATTCATTCCTTCTCGAACGAACGATCTAATCAACCGCATGACATTCGCATGAAATTGTTCATTGTTAGCCTGTGTGTGTACTCATAGAAACCATGTATAATACACAGTTACACAGTGTGTAATACACATCGCATATTAGACAGTTTTTGGGTTTTTCCAAATAGTTTCTGATTATTCTGATTTGCGACAAATGATATTGCACTGTTAGGATAAACGACGTTTCAAAGTAACAACTTCTTATTCATGCTGACAAAATTGGTAAATATGTGAGAAAACTGTCTCATAAAATTTTTATTAATCAAAAATGGCTAAACGACAACAAATTGTTCAAATACTCGACTAAAATTAGAATCAAAATCTATATATATACAACACTACTCGATCTGCTATTCAATAAACTTAAAACATCCACTAAACAGCAAGTACGTGATTGTGATCGTGTGATGGAATGACATACGTACAGTGATAACAGATGATTTAAGATGTAAGTGATAACAGATGATAAGGTAAAAGATACAATACATGTGAGATGGTGTATACACTATTTGAGTGAAAATATAGTGAGTGGTTACTGATTGTGAGCGAGATGTGAAAAAACATTAAAACTTACTACTGCTAGAAAACTTAAACTGTATGCAATAAAAAGGGAATGAAACTAAAATATCTAAAATTCTTCAGTACTAGCTATGATAAAACGTTTAATAGTATCCAGTTCTTCTCTCTTGCATATTGTTAGATTAGTAATAATAACACTGGTTCGGGAACTGTGTTTTGTTTAAATTCTCTCAATAGTGTTTGTTGGTGCCGTTACAGTGTGTTTGCTTATAGAAATACTCTTTTAAAATGGTGTAGACATTATGTAATATGATGATCTCACTTTTCAGGTGCCAACTTTGTTTGCAAACACTATTAGTACCACTACTATAACTAATACCACCTAATACCACTACTAGTACTAATACTATTACTACCACTACTAATACTATTAGTATTAAACACAGTGCTTGTTCAGTATACTATACAGCCTTCCTAAGTTTAGTGTAGAAATAATCAACCCGCGGTTACAACAAATGAATAATTAGTAGAGATACAATACCTCTCTAGATGTAGTGCCCTAATTACAATGCTACAATCTACTCTAATTATGCGCTAATTACAATGCTACCATCTACTCTAATTATGCGCTGTAAAATTATTTAGTGTGTTCAACTTATAATCTCGCTTACCCTTACTGTTAAAAGTTTAAACTTTATTTATTCTACATAATACTGAGCTAGATTATAACGTTTACTTTATTCTATAATGACTCTTAATTAATACTCGGTTTCTTTTAGTCAGACATGGACATCGCCGCAATCGCAGCTATCGCCAAAGAGGTGAAAATCAACGCCAGAGCCAAACAGACTGCCACAGACAAGAAAAGGTAAATTTACAAGTTTCGATTAGTATTAACTAGTATTCAAGTTTTGCCGAGATTGTGAAAAAATTGAATCCAAACTTCACCCTCACAGTTCCTGCTAATAGCATACTATCCTTCACCTCGACATACATATTGTATTGTATTGTATTGTATTGTATTGTATTGTATTGTATTGTATTGTATTGTATTGTATTGTGGCATCAGATGCCATCGTGGAGTAGGTGGTCTCCTGCACCTTTTCCCCTCGACATAATAGAAAAAACCTATACATGCAACCTGCAACCCGAAGGTGATTGCAGCCCTTACGGAAGACTATAACTCTATACGGTCTTCAATCTTCATGCTTCTCTAATAAAATGATACACAAGGTAAGTTTACCAGGTTAACTTAACCTGAGGTTAAGGTTTTGTTGTACTCATGATCCAATTAGTAATTATCTCAAACTAATCCTCCTCCTCTTCACAGCACGGAGCTGTCAAACGTGTTAGCAGCACGACAGAAGGGAACAGCAGGCCCTATTAAACAAAGAAAGGAGCACAAGGTAGACCCCAACGATGGTATGTCGTCGGAACTGCAGAAAATGCTCGCTAAGAGAAACAAAATCATCGAAGAGGTACGTCCAATGCACACACAGAGAAGATGGGAATTTTTTTCACAAGCTCTTTATTTTTTGCCTCATGTGAATCTAGAGAGGTTAGAATTATCTTAGACTGGATCATTTTGAATTTCAACTGATATTATGCAGACTGCGAAGCATCTAGAAGAAATCCTCTCCAACTTTCTAATAATATACAACTTTATTTGTATTACTATTAAGATATAACTTATAATACTTTTTATTGTTCGCTCTCTTGAGTGGGTTAGTCACAATGAATTACTGAGGACGAAATGAGAGATACATGACAAAGGCATATAGCCGAAACGTCGACAATACCTGATGTATTTTGTTTTAAAGAGCAAGTGGAGATTCTCATTTTTTCCTCAGTAATCAATAGCTGAAGTAAATTGTAACACAGAATAGCTTAGTAGTTATAATTGCAGTAATGTTCGTTCTGTCAGTTCTATATACGAAAGGAGTCTTTTACCGTGTGGGGAGACGAAATGGACATGTTGTACAAAGCATATCTAGCAAGAGAGAAGGAAATCGATATCATCCACCAGGCTCATCTAAAACTATGCCAATAATCTGCTATAGTCACGGAGCAAATTAAAATACAATCGGTAAAATTTGCCGATTTTATCAAGCCTAAAAGCTAGTGCGCTAAACATGGAATGATCGAAGTATTGAATAGTTCTGAAAGTTAATAGAATTGTAAACTACCTTAATACTAGACGCAGTACCAGTACCACCATATCAACTTTAACTGTGCTTTCCTAAGAGATTCTTTAAATCCTTCATGCACATTGTTTGTAGTGCACATTGTTTGTAGTCATAAGATCCTTTGACCAATATTTTAAACCCTATTTTCTTTTTAGAACTGAAGGACAACTTAGGGGCCTGAGTTCCTTGAGTAAAACATATAAACCAAGCTATCGGTCTTGCTGTTGCTTTACCGAGCTATCGGCCTTGCTCCTGTCAGTACGGTTAAATCCTTCTTATTACAACCAAGAGCTTGAATCTTTATAGCTGCTACAAGACGCTCCTTTAATCATATTGCTGAGAATCGAATTTCCGAAAATACCCAATCCAATCAAAATCACAGATATCTGTCGACTTACAACTACAAGCGTATTTTAAATTTCACGCCATTTAAAGTAAGAGCCGGTGAGTTTCGGATGTCTCCAACAATCACTAATTCGTTCTCCCACTCAGGACGAAGAAGTCAGGACCAAAGAAACCAACCGACCCGAGCTTTTCAAAGCAATGAAACATCGAAACATTGCAATCGCCCAAGACGAGGTTAAACCGGAGGAGCCTGCCGCTCAGAACGCCGATGCTGACGACCAAGGGGACAACTACGACGACGAGGGTCCGTACAGTGACGAGGAATACAGCGACAGCGACTACTCTGACGAGGAGTCCTGAACACTTAACACTCAGATAAAACGACGGACATGCTCACAGACGGACATGCTCAGCTGGACTAGTTGTGGTGCATAGCTAATTGTTATTAAATCCAGATTTCTTGATTAGGGCTGGCCAAATTATAAGATTCCAAATTGAAATGTAAATGTCATATGAAATTTGTAATATTACCTAATTTTATTGCCTGGTATTGAAATAAAGTGATTGGATTTTTGATTTTTATAAAATCGAAGTGTCTTGTTGCCTGATTGGCGGGGTCAATCAAGGATGTTCTCGAACCTTCGCAGATCTCATGTTTGACATTTTACAGCAATATGTTTTAGTGCCTTTACCAACGCTCAATTTTCTCTAGATGAATATGATTTTTGACGGTTCTTATAAAATGATTTTCACGTGACGTGCTGACTAATTGACTAATTTACAATAATTATTGATTGTTTTTATATATATATTACGGAGATTGATCTCTCGAATTTTCTATAAACGACTAATTTATTGTTTTTATTTCGTCGGTCTAATATATATTAATATCACGTATAACTGTTCATTCAGAGCCTTGGCAACTAGCAATTTATACAAGCTTATTCCCGATTCACGATTGTTCATTGATTTACTAAGGTTGATGGATGATGACGAGCGTGCCTAATCACTCTACACTCGATCTTCTAAATTGTTCTATAAAAGTAAAAGGGCCCCCGAAAGTTGAAACCAACTTGGATTAGGTGTATTTTCGGACGCTGATTCCGGATCACCCCCCATGACAGGATGAAAATGCTCTCCTGACGAGATATTGGCAAAAAAACTGTCTCGATCACGTGATATGACCGTATTAGGAAGTTGGTCAAATTTATCGTCAGGGTTAGGGTTTCAGCATATGCTTTTGTTAGGGATTGGGTTAGGGTTACGGTTGGGATTTGTAGCGCGATGCGTTACTGTGCCGCGCCGCGCACTCAATGAGGCTTCTCTGGCTAGATCGGCGAGATGCGCTACTGTGCCGCGCCGAGCTGCTTGACATACGTTGCATGCCATTTTTCGCCGCTGATATTTGTTATATGTAACATGTATCAACGAGCTGCCATGAATTGACATCGTCAATTAAGGTTGGGATCAGATTATAGTGTTATTACTGGGCGGCACTCAGCCTGTCAGTCCGCCGAATCTTTATTTGCATAATAGCCTTACCTGGGGTCCCCAGGTAAGAGTGTTAAAGTTTCGAATAGTCGTTCAGGGCCAGCTAGAGAACGGGTTGAAAAAGTCACGTGACAGTCGAGTGTAGAGTGATTATTAATCATCATCCGAGTATCACTATTATCCGGATGATGATTAATAATAATCACTCTACGCAGCGCACGTCTATATTTTTTCGAAAAAGCGCGCCGCTTAACTTTATTTTCTAATTATATTGTACTAAAAACTGTATCACGTGTCAATCATGTTATGTTGTATGTATCACGTCGTAACCCACATTCACACATTATCAATAATATTTATATTGCCAATATTATTTTCAGAAAAAATTTTGAAAACCCACCGCGCGAATTTACCAGTCATATTGCAAACTTTTATCCAATTTTGCTTCCAGACTGCGTTTTTGTTTTATTTGCAGTTTCAAAATAAAATTACAAGTATTGTCAATTGTAGTACATAGTACAGCAGGGTGTCACTGTCAAAATTATTGGCGCGCGGTAGTCAATTTTGCGTAAAATTTTTGACGGATGTTACTCGTCTAAATTTCTTCGAAGTAGCGCGCGCCAGGCCAAATTATTAACAATGGTCAAGTGAAATTTTAGCTTATACCTGTTAGTGTTACCCTTGATTCACGATGTCAATCCTTCGCAGCTCGGTGAGGCACAGTGGTGCATCTCGCCGATCTACCGAATGTGGTTGCGAGAAGCATTATTTGATGCGCGCGCGACCCAGTAGTGCATCGCGCTACAAGTGTTACCCTTGTATCACGTGGTGACCCCCACGGTCGCTTCACTATAGTGTAGCGTCTTCGACTATAGTGTAGCATCTTCGACGCTAATTGACGATGTCAATTCATGGCAGCTCGGCGCGGCACAGTAGCGCATCTCGCCGATCTAGCCAGAGAAGCTGTGAGAAGCCTTATTAAGTGCGCGGCGCGGCACAGTAACGCATCGCGCTACAGGGGGAGCCGCGCACTTCGTGCGCGGCGGGTCATACAACGTATGACAAAACTTTGTGCAAGGCACACCATGTGGTTCGCAGGCGCTAAAATTATCATAGATAACTAACGCGCATTTAGGAGACGCGTTGTAGCGCGATGCACTACTGGGTCGCGCGCGCGCATCCAATAATGCCTCTCGCAACCACACGCAGATCGGCGAGATGCGAAGGATTGACATCGTGAATCAAGGAGACGCGCAAAAGTTGTCACTGTTGGCATGGTTTGGGCGAGCGAATTAGTAAGAGCCCGACCATAGCGAGGTGTTTTTACTTAAATACTTTGGTTTTAATAAACAAAAAAGTACTGTCAAAATGATTGATGATACCGTACTATAATACTTACTGGGCGCGCGGTGGTGCTCACTGCTCAGCCATCATTCCATTTCCGCCGAATCTCTATTCAGTTTATAAACATGATAGCCTGAGGTCCCTCGTATCACGTTGCGACCCCCACGGTCGTTTCACTATGGTTTCACTATGGTTTCACTATGGTATCGTCCTGACGATACAGGGGGAGCCGCGCACTTCGTGCGCGGCGGGTCATACAACGTATGACAAGAGTTCCCCAGGTAATATGATGCTTATTATCAATTCAAACTTACTACCTATTCATTATATCAAACTAATACTTATCATGTCATATCAACTGAGATATTATACTTGGGTAACATTGTCATACGTTGTATGACCCGTTGATTCACGATGTCAATCCTTCGCATCTCGCCGATCTGCATATGTGGTTGCGAGAAGCATTATTTGATGCGCGCGCGACCCAGTAGTGCATCGCGCTACAATATGACCCGCCGCGCACGAAGTGCACGGCTCCCCCTGTAGCGTCCCCCTGTAGCGTCGAAGACGCTGTAGCGTCGAAGACACTATAGTGAAGCGACCGTGGGGGTCACCACGTGATACAAATAAAGTTCACTCAAAACGTTCCGCGCCCGCGGACAAGTCAACATTTGTGGTTTTCAGAGACGAGATATTGCCATGTTGCATCATATCAAAACTCTTTTTATCGCGGTAGTATATATAGTCAGAGTGGTTCGTTGTCATTTTAGTAGTAGTACTTCCTTATTGCTAATAATTAATTGGGAAAGCAAAATAATAGACGATTTAGTGAGCGCGCGCGTAGACACATTGACATGGCTATGTGAACATAAAAACCAAACTCACGTGAAGTTTTTGGGCGAGTAAATAAGTAAAAGCCATGTAAAATAGTTCACCTAGCCATGAGTCTACGCGTACTGCACGCTAGAGGGCTCTGGTTAAAGCAATTAGTAAAATAGGAACGAACACGATATAATTATTATGACATATACCCGGTCAGAAATCCAAAAGTTGACTCGGCGAGTTTTTTTATGGCGAAATATCCGATAAACCGCCGAATTTAACCCGCCGTAATGCATAATTAAACGAACTATTTAGGTATTACATATTAATTAGCTAATCATCATCCCTTCAATTTTGGTGGAAATAGTGCGCGCCAATTCCAAATTATAACATGCGTTACGAACGTACGTGCTCAGCGGTTTAATCTTGTCAGAATTATCCGCGTCCGACGTATACGTGAGACACAATGTTTTCGCCAAAAAGGAATGAACAAATTCGGAACATACTGACCTTTTCAACCCCGGGCAAACCAGATTGATCCGGGATTCCAATTCATAGTGAAAAGACTGTTCCAATCTATAAAATGCCACACTTTTATAGGATCCTAAGCTCAACGTCCAACGACAGTATAAGCTCATACACGAAGGCCTCCGGTCCATCTGCTATCGAATGAACCAACACGCAAAATACTGTTACCCCTCTTAACGCTCTCAAATTAAGACCTGCTGGTTGTTAGTATCATAAACCTCCTAGTAATAGGACATTCTCATGTGAGCGAAAATTACTCTAGTAGTCAGTTCATCAAGACCTTCTTGAGACATTGAATTTGATGATCGAGATTCGAGATAGGGTGGCGACAAAGGAGCATTCTGTGTTTTTATACAAAGCGACAAGTCTATCCCAATACCCAGAAAATAGCAATAAACCTTCAATTGGTACATCTGCCTTTTTGTAGACGAAATTATAATACTTTGATTGAAGTGAGACTCTTATATCACAGTAAAACGGAATTTATTGTTGCTACAATTTAACACCACAAATTCACTTGTTTTAATAATAAAAATACCAATCGTTGAATTTTAAAGTGCCTGTTTTAACCGTTGCTAAATCAAAACTGTGAAACATAAACACCAAGTTATGAAATATAATTTAATCGTATCTCTTAAAGGAGTAAGGCAATAAACATACATCTAGTATAAGTACGGTCTCACCGAACATAAGCTAATGAAAGTGGAACCAAATAATTTCAAAAGGTACCATGATAATAATATTGATGTATCATATCAAGTCATCATTCAAACAAAAAGATAAATCAAACAAACGTCCTAGACTCAGTCATCTCCGTCCGTGCCGGCTATAGGAGTTGCGCAGTGGCAACGTCATATTACTATGGTAACAACGTCAAATAATAACGTCGAAAATAGTAAAAAACTATGCCCTGTAAAATAACAGGGGCCAGCAAATTCATTCCTTGGTCAGAAGTGTCACATTCAGAATTTTCATTCAGAATTTTCAGTGTAAAAGTAATAAAACAGAACTAATTGTCTCTTCAAAAATCTAAATGGGCATCAATATATTGTAATATTCAAAATCATAAAAAGGGAGCGCGAAAAAGAAGTAAAAAAGGGATGTAGTGTTGAGTCGAGTCTCGAGGAGGGATGGTCCCTCTATTTTCAGCATGCAGAAATATGTAGTCTTTTTACAAGAGGCGTGATCAGCGTCACTTCTTTTTCGGCTCCTCGGCTCAACTAAGGGACTGTAACCTGGAAGAAAATGATAGGTAAGACACATGTTTAGTAGTTACAGCAGCTAACATTAACATTTTACTTAACCCTGTGAAGGTCTTATTTCATTAGGGAATTTTAAAGTGCTCTGAAAGGAACTGTGACGGTTTCTCTATATTTTAAGAAATAAAGCGTTGCAACGAGGCAGGTTAGCCTGCTCATTCTTGGATTAAAACATAAGTTAAGCGGAGTTTTTACACAGTTTTCAGTAAAATCACCTTTAGATAATTTGAGAGCCGTGCCCTATCATAAACATCCCATCATGCTTTCCAATCATGTCAAGCAACACGTAATGAACAACATGTAATGGTGCAATAAAAAGACATGGAATGCTTCACGAGTGATATGAGTTAATCCACACCAAGAGAAATATGGATAGTGAAGTGATAGTGAGGAAGGTTTAATCTAAGAAAGTGATCTAATAGGGTATCATGCATGTGGGAATGTGAGGAGCATGCTGAATATTTATAAGACCGTTCTTTGTGGACTGAACTGTCGTTATCGTGAAGAATGGAGGGATTGTCTTGTACGAGTGGGGGTCACCACAAATTTCACCATAGCATTTTAGAATAACGAGAGAGAGAGAGAGAGAGAGAGAGAGAGAGAGAGAGAGAGAGAGAGAGAGAGAGAGAGAGAGAGAGAGAGAGAGAGAGAGAGAGAGAGAACCATTCTTCACCTTCCCGAAAGTTTATAGAAACAAAATCTTCCATTTTCGTATTATAGATATAATGGGTAAGAGGTCAATGCCGATGAAGAGCTCCCACCCCCTCTTCCTCCTTCTCCCACCCCCTCTTCCTCCTTCTCCCCCACGAGACGACAATTAAATACATGTCCTAATTCCGGGAGATTAAATATGAAAATTTAATAATACCCAGTCACTGTGTAATTGAGACGCGTAATTTGTTATTTATATTACAGGAACATCATGACGGATCTTCCGGAAATAAGTCCAGTAATTCCAAAAACCCGCCGTTTATCTATCTCAAAGGCAATTCACTACCTGCCCGAGCCTGAATAAGTATTGGTGTGTCATCGAGTTGAAATTACTCAACAATTTGTAAAAGGGAGCGGTCTCAACATTCGCCTTAATGACAGACTGACTTCAAGAGACAACTACTTTGACTTTGACATACGACGGATCTAATACATGTTTTGTTTGACAGAACATGAAAATTACAAAATTTCAGTGGACCAAGAGTTTTAGGAGACACAATTATGAATTAGAGGTCGTTCACATATTACGTTATCATTTTTTGGAACATTTTGACCCCCGCCCCCTCCCCTCCGTAATCAGTTTTACACATAGCTATTGTGTCAAAAGTACACTAGCGTAATCATTCGGAAACCCCCCCCCTCAGCTGATTACGTAATATGTGAATCCTTAAGACAGGTTGTTTCTAGGGGACTGCTGTTTTGTAGTGTTTGTAGGAAAATGTGTGTTCGGGAGTAAGTCTGTTAGTTTCAATTTGGAGTTTTGTAAGTTGGTTAGTAAGTAAGTAAGTAAGTAAGTAAGCAAGTAAGTAAGTAAGTAAGTAAGCAAGTAAGTAAGTAAGTAAGTAAGTAAGTAAGTAAGTAAGTAAGTAAGTAAGTAAGTAAGTAAGTAAGTAAGTAAGTAAGTGAGTAAGTAAGTAAGTAAGTGAGTAAGTAAGTAAGTAAGTAAGTAAGTAAGTAAGTAAGTAAGTAAGTAAGTAAGTAAGTAAGTAAGTAAGTTTGTAAATGTGACGTACCGTCCAGCAGTCCTGTCTCAGATAGGAGAGAGTCTATTTTCCTGTAACGAGATGTGTATTAACTTATTAATAGAGGAGACACCACAGATCATACTGACATTGTAACCCTGGTATCACTATGGCACTATTGTTACCATGGTACATTCTACAGTAAAACCCCGACTTACCGCGGAGATTGGGAGAAAGGAAACATCCGCGATAGATCGGGGTCCGCGGTAAATCGGGGTTTTGTTAGTTTATATTATGCACGTTAAGCCATATTTGGGGGAAAGATATGTCCGCGGTAAATCGGGGTTTGCGGTAAATATGGGCGCGATAAATCGTGGTTTCACTGTACCACTATTTAGGGTATTTACCACTACAATCATGAATCAGTGCTCACAATCCCCCGCCATTGTTACCGACTAGTTCCCCGAGATTACGAGCTAGTACCATTAGTATCAGCTATTTACCCATTGTACTACAATTGTACTCGACTTCGTACCGGACCATTGCATGGTTATAACAATAACAACGCTGTACTCTGCAAATTACAGCTCTCCTTTTATTTAACACAAAGGGACGAGAATACCAGCTAGTACATATCCAGTCACGTTACCATGGTAACCAGTCACGCGACAAGTTACCTTGTACACTTACACACGCACTATGTGACATGTGACACATTTAATTAGTGTTAATTGGGAACAGGGGAGGGAGTGGTGAGTGATATATCCAGCCCTGAGGGCCGCATTAAGGGGTCATTATCCCGGCTATATGTAATAACTAATAACACATGTATAATATCGAAGGGTACCTGGCCTTCTGCCAGATTCCACCAATATTCTGGAATATTCACTCCAATCATATATACTTTGTCGTGGAATAACGACCCTGTACTGTTTATACGTGATCGAGCCGAGACATATCGACTTGGTAAACATGCATATTAGCATTATTAAGAGTCTATTATAACAGAGGTATGTGTGTAAGGTACACACTAATCTTACACACGCGCTCCCCTTATTCTCATATTATGTGTGCTCTTCCGGTATAGTGAGGGAGCACTTAGAATAGCCGGGGCTACAGGTCCGAGGTGGCAGACGTGGCACTGTGATAATGTGCAAATAATGGGGGAATAATGGGGTAATAATGGGGATATTCATGCACTGTTTGTGTGGAGATTAGGAAACAATCATTGTGTTCCGAAATGGTATAAATCATGAGCAGCACATGCGGAATCAGCGGCTAGAGTTGGTAGATGGGTGATAAACTTACCATGTTAACTGGGAACTTAGGCGACAGCTACAGCCTGAACAAATGTTACCATGTTAAAATTACATATTCAAACGTGCCGTCTCACGGACAATTCCGAAAATCACGGACAAAACGCGAGAAATATATTAACCGATCACTGCACTGGCAAAACTGAAGAGGGTTTTAAAAGCAAAAAACACTTTTTAACTGAAGAAAAACCCACCTCGGCTGTATTATTCTCAACCAGAGATTCCGTTTTAGCCTCGATCACTACGTTACTATCTGCATTAGCTTCTTCTACAACTGGCTCGGCAGCTTTTACTGGCTCCTCGGCGGCGGGTTCCTCAGGGGCGGCTTCTTCAGCAGCAGCTTCATTATCTGGCACCTGTGAGGGGTTTCATTCAAAGAGGGGTCTAGTGAAGGAGGGTTTCATTCGAAGAGGGCAGTTTCTTCAAGTATGGGAATAATTGATGGCAGCTGTCAAAACGAAACTTAGTACGCCAGAAATAAGGGGTAACCATTAAATAGAATATGGACAGTCAGTCGGATGTTAAGTCCGTTGTTGTGTCACACCAATCAACCCAATTACATCGGAATATGCGTTATTATCAAGATTACAGATACCCCTGGCTGGGTTCAACCCAGTCCCAAGTACTAAACTTTAATCGCCGATAATTCAACTCTAATTCGGGAATTGAAAGGATAAAAGAAGGTTGAAGTAGATGATAAAGAGAACTACAGGAAGTTGTAGAAAGGGCGTGGTCGGGGTGGTGTTGACAGGTGAACTATTAGGACTACGTGCACTGCCTACTCCTGCTCAGCAGGAGTAGGCAGTGCACGTAGTGCACACACACACACACAGGTATATTATAATATGTAGCATGTAGAGTGGGTTAGACATTCTTAGTTTAATTAGTAACCGTGTGTGTAGAGATAGAGCTCTTGTGAGGGAGGAAGCGGAGTAATACGGACTAATGTCTCGTTTAATATGATAACGTCAACCAATGGAATTCAGTGACCTAATGACAGGATAATAAGTTTAAAACAGCCACCCTCTCTCTCTATCTCAACCATCCCCTCTATCCCTTCTCTCTCCTGACGGAGTAATTTACCCTGTCAAGCACTTGTCAGTATTCACATCATATGCTGACATGACACTGTAGCCAGAGTTCCGAGGACGCCTCCCAACTAAGCTTGACGTGCTCCTGAAGCAGGATCAGGAGAAACCCTGGTAGTTCAGATCTGTCAACACTAAGTGAGGGATCCACTCCTAATCTGAAGTTGACAGTCCAACAAACAGATTAAATCACCCACAGTTGAGGAGAGAGAGAGGTATAATGTAGGAGGGGTAAAATTAAACCCGGCGGTGATCTAGTCCATGTTGAATAAAAGTGCTATATTTGGGGATATTATATCCAGAGTAATTACTGTAGGTAGGTTTTAACAAGGCCAGGTAAAAATAACCCCTCCTAATTACGGGTGTTGGCTGTTTCTTGACAAAAATAACCATCTACTTTGGGTTATGCTATGAACTCTTTCTGAAAACCTTGGGCGGACCCAGTCCAAACTGAACATTAAAACCCACATAACTGTTTCAAGTTAATGATATTTAAAGTTACAACCGCCAATAATAGCCATCTGCCTTGGGTTATGCTATGAACTCTTTCAGAAACCTTTGGTTGAACCAAGTCCAAACTGAACAATGTCACATTGAAAAGGAAGCCTATATATCAGATGTGCAGTAATCAGCGCAGTATCGTCTGGAAGTAACAGAATAATTTTAAAACACTCAACATAACTGTTTCAAGTTAATAATATTTAGAGTTACGATCTCCAAATAAGGAGAAATGCAGGACAAAAAAAGAAGAGATATGAAGTTCGGAGGATATGTGGAACCTTATAAGTTTTCAGAGAGAGATAGAGAGAGAGAGAGAGAGAGAGAGAGAGAGAGAGAGAGAGAGAGAGAGAGAGAGAGAGAGAGAGAGAGAGAGAGAGAGAGAGAGAGAGAGAGAGAGAGAGAGATAGGGGTATACCAGGACAGGCAGATGGGGAGGAGTTATCAGGGACATGATACAGACCATGCTGACTGGTAAAACAGAGTATATTGTGTAAGGCTTTACCGGGGGGACAGCTGCCGGGACACATTTGTGTATGGTTTTACCCAGGGAAATATTGGCGACCACTGTTCTATTGTACTAACTGTTTAGAAGAGTTACAGTAAGGGTCACATATATTATCAGTCTAGACGAGATATAAAAGAGTAACAGCTGTAAAGGTAGAGATATGTTAGACGTTAGTAATAGTAAGGGTGGTATCACAGGTTTTGGGGGAGTGACATTGTCCAGACTGTTGAAGCATTTCAAATGTTCAAACTAATTCGCGGAGTTTATCAGCAGGTAATTATTCCGACCAATTGGATTGTTACTTGTAACAATTTCTGGGTTGGGTATCCGTCATTGTCAGTTAGAACTGTCGTTCAGAACGATCATATTGTTCTAGAAGAGTCAGTCATCTGTCCAGTCAGAAGTGTCAGTCGGAGATTATAAAACTCACGGGTTCCTCAGCAGCAGGAGCTTCCTCAGCGGCAGGAGCAGCTTCCTCTTCAGCGGCTGGAGCTTCTTCGGCTTCTGCCTTGGGTGCTTTCTTCCTCCTGAACCTGGCGAGTAATCGGGCAAAGAAGCCTGGTTTCTTGGCGGCAGGTTCCTCCTCAGCGGCGGGTGCCTCCTCGGCAGCGGGTGCCTCGGCTTCGGCTTCAGCAGCAGGGGCGTCACCTTCAGCGGCGGGGGCTTCTTCTTCAGCAGCAGCTGGCTCCTGGTGTGGAGATATTTAGAAGGGGAACAATGATATGTGGTGTTGTCTGAGGAGTGTCCAGCTGGTCACTGGTCACTGGTCAAGATGTCCAATAGATCCGTTAATAGAGTCAGTCACAAATAATCTCACCTCTCTCCAAGTACTTCTATAAGTTGATATACCTGAGTAGTTGTAGACTACTCGCTGAGTTGTACTACTCACTGTAACACTATAGAGTCCACACTACGCTCACTTCTGACTCTCACCGCTACAATGGGAACTTTGTCTCATACAGTGTGTTCCCTGAGTAGAAGAGAAAACCCTACCATTCTAATGAAATGAACTCCAATTTAGTCTCCTCTCGAACTCCCAGCATGACATGCAATGTTCAAATACCAAGCATGACAGAGAATGTGAGTGTAAGTTATTAATCTCGAGGTGTACGCGCGGAACGGTTAGATAACCACTTAATTTATCGGGACACACCAAATATGGAATAATCGACGAAGAGCTATATGTTAGAAAGTATAACTTTTGGGTCTCTCCCACTGCTTGGAACGGTTGGATGATATATCATGTAGTGTGACGTATTTGATGTGGTCATACTAAATTAGTTGATGCAGTGTGGCAGTTCGGAGAGGTGACTGGTAGCAGATAATTTCCCGCGATTTATTTAAAATTAGAACCATGTAGTCGGAATGTTATGAGTTACTGTGAAATATGACGAGCTGAGGTTTGTGAGTTCTCAGGAATGGTGGTGACATGAAATGGATGAAGAAATCCCATATGCTGCACACACCCATTGTGATATACCCTTAATGTTATGTACACACACACACACACACACACACACACACACACACACACTCAATACTCATCACTCTACTACACCCACACTTTTGATGGAAAATGTCACGTACTCTCTCTCTCTCCATTATATTACTTTTGTCCCTACACAGTCGTTTAGTTGAAATTACAGAGACATTCCAAGTGTTGAGAAAAATATGTTGAATTCCGTAAGTCTTCTCAGATAATTAAATAATATCTAAAAATATACTATTACACCACACGACTTTTCAAAAATCCGAGCTTTGACAGCTACGTGAGAAAACACAGGTCGGTAAAAGACGCAATAAATGAAATATAAAATAATATATAATATAATAATAAAAACCTTGGTCTTCTTCTTTTTCCTGAAGGAATCCCTGATTTTAGACAATGTGCTCTGTCTCTTCACTGGTTCTCCCTTGGGCTCATCCTCCTTTTCCTTTTCGCTCTGCTTCTCCTCAGCGTCCTGAAAATGATTAGCGATAATGGAACGAAAACTATGTGCGGAATGTGGGTCTTGTCAGTGTAGAGATGATAAGTCGGTGTTAGGCTGTTAATAAGTGTGTGCTGGAAAATTTATATTTCAGTTTAATAGTTAGGAAGGTTAGTACAAATTATATACAGCGTTATTTTCACATTCACAAGAGGTTGTCTAAGTAATGATGTACCGTATTTCTTCTCAGCGCAAAATCACAATAATGTTAAATGAAGTTTAGTCTAAATGGTGGTCTGGTAAAGGTTAAGGGGAAAATATGATTCTGGTACTTCATGTGCCATAATGTAAGCTGACTAAGAGCGGATATTTCATCTCATTTTATCCACTTTTATTGGACTAGAAACTGAGGTCATACGGTTTTGGAGGAGGATACAGTCACTAGTCGGGGATTGGGTTAAGTTTAGGTTTTAGGATACGTTAAGAATGGGACCGGGATGGGAAGTGGGATCAAACTTGGTAAGTTGTCGAGGGATGAAAAGAGAGTGCATTACCATATAAAGGGTATTACTAGAATCTGCATAATCAATCCACCATTTAAACACACTAAACTAATGCACTATTTCGCAAGAACTGTTGCAGAAACCCACATTTTTAGAGCAGCTCAGTCAGGAGTAAATCCTCACTGATTTAATGTTGGACGTGTAGCTACGTAATGTAACGAGTACACATCATTCAAAACGAGTTTTATTCATATTTCACTGCAAATCGGAAACCGAAAATTAATCTAACTTGATGACTGCAGTGTCTTTCATGACGTTAACGTAACCACTGAACAATAAACATACTCAGAGCTTAAACAGCTTTTCAAAAATACTTGCTTATAATAATTCTATTGAAAAGAGCGACAACCGACGAAAATTGCTTGATAATTTTGCTTGAAAATGGGAAAATTCACAATGTTAATAAACACAACATATTCACTATCGGCACAATCATAGTTTTTAAACGGGCACTTATTGTCAGCATAGGTCTTACGTCAGTAACCAATATGTCTTCCTTGTTGCCATTTTTAATAGGCTTGTTAGCTTTTTTAGGCTTGTCGGCCTTCTTAGGCTTGACGGCTTTCGTTTTAGCCTTCTTCTCTTTACTCTTACCATTTTTCTTACTTTTCTTCTACAAGACGGTTGTTTTTGTGAAAAAAGTTGGTAATCTCAACCGAAATATAAACACACACAAATCAAAGTGCACACTACCCAAAACAAAATCATAAAATGCTGTTGAATCTAGATGCTTTTCACTTAGTTACATATGAACACAAACACAAATCTGTGGTTTTAACCAAACTGCCTCCGAAAAGCATTGAAGAAGATCAGAATCAGAGATCAATACGTGATGGAAGCTACCGTATTGGCAAACATTTGGACGATATCGGAGCAAAATCCTCTTTCCAAACGCAAAATAATCTCATACACAAATTTCGTCCAAATACTTGCACATACGGTGAAACTTGGATGAGCCATGCAAAGCAGGACCCATGAATCAGCTGTCAGAGTCATCCAGACAGGGGTATCACGTGACACGTGGGGGACCTACTTCTTCGGGGGCGGCAGCCTCCTCTTCCACTACTTCCTCCACTTTCTCCTGATCTTCATCCTTCTTGGAGTCTTTGTCTTCAGTGTTGACTTCCTAGTACGAGTAACGGGCTGTACAGGGGACAAAGAAAAAAAAAACAATAGATTATCACACTTGCTCACATATTCACTAGTCACACTTTATCACTCACTCACACACACGCCCGCACTTATCACACACTTCACAAGTTCTCGGAAAGTCAGAAGTTCTTACCTCGGCGGCTGCTTCCTCTACTGGGGTCTCTTCTGGGGCTACTTCTGGTGCGGCTTCAGCTGCGTCTGCCTGTAAGGGAACTTTGGGTTAATCATCAGAGGTTTTTTTTGGGTTTGTACGGAAACATGCGCCCTATCCGCACACACGACATTTTCACTCTAATGAATATTCAATTTCTTTCTCATCCTTGAATTTAACACTCTCTGATTTAACTATTAGAAGTTGTGTACTCTGGTGTATTTAACTAACGAGTTCACTTAAATGACCATCCCCCCCCACTCTGCTCACAGTAGGTATTATCTCTAAATCACCCTTACTAGCACTAATCACTTGTTTACAAAGTAATAAAGGGTTTGGCTGCTGACAAATAGAGACGATAATTGGCATGAAAATAACCCATCCTAATATTTCAACCCTTCACATATGTCATTACAGTAGATCTGTCTCCCACTAAATGATACATTGGCATTTGGTAACAATGCTCCTGGTATTTGTAACCATATTTGTCGGCAGCAGATACTCAGGGGGTACGCCTGGGTTGGCTGCTTTCTGGAAACGAGGTCAGGTCAGAGAGAGATGGGAGAACCATTTGACCTAATTGAGGATCATTTACTGGACTCGGCGAACTCTTTAATGACAGACAGTAAATCAGTTTACTTCATCTCGCGGGAGTTCGATCTTTAAATTGTATAATTTATCCACGCTCGGTACCAACCCGAGATTAGAAAATGACCAGCCGATCCTAGAGCATCAGTTCACATTTGTACTATTTACTTTACAGATTTACAAAATATTCTTATTACAGCTCATCTATATTGTCTAGAGTACAAAACAAGCCAATTAGACGAGCGATATATATATACAGAATGACGTGATATTATAATGTTCATCATATAATAGTACTGCAACCAGACGTCTCGATCAAATCTTACCATTTTCAAGGCTCAAGTCGTTTTTCTGGGTTCTCTCTTTCTCTCTGCTGTAAATACCTACTCCCTAAGCGTATTTACCCCTAGTTCAGTATTCATGTCCAAGAAAAATGGAAAATAAAAAGGATATCTAATTAAACGAGCTAGAGATCTAGTCGTGAGTCATTATTATTATTATAGCTCTTAATACACAACAAGTTATGGAGATCACGGGGGAATTAAGGAGGGCCATTTATTCGCCGTGCGGCATTAAATCATAAAGAAATACCGGAAAATGACGACAAGTACCGAACAAGAACCGAGGTATTTACGGTAAAGGGCAGTTTGTGGAGACAGGAACTGAGATACAAATCAACTCTTTCTCTCTCACAGAGAGCGAGTAACAAACGGGGAGGCCTAACTCGGAGCCAGGTACTGGGTAACTACGATGTAAAGTTGGTAACTAGGTTGGTAACTAGGTTGGTTACTACGCTATTGTTGGTAACTAGAGTGAAACACGGCACACATATGGTAGGGGTCGTGTGGAGACTAGAGAGGAGGCTGGGTACTATAACTACACGGGCTGTGAGAGAGAGGATTCTGCTGCAACCAGCTGGTCATGTAAATATAGCCAGGTATGAGCTTGGGCAGGGGAGAGTAGTGGTAATTCCTGGAATATTCCTTTAAATTCTATACAAAGAGACTGTAACAAGAGGCAAAGTAACGGTCAATATATTATGTATGTTGCATTTTGGGGGAGTAAAATAGCCAAAATATCCGTTTTAACAGCTGCTGTTAAGCAACATTATCTACCATTTACAGGGGCCTGTATATTTGCCACCTAATTCTGTTATCACGGACCTTGAGACCAGCACAATTTGATCAACCTCCCAGCAGACCATCTCAACCATCGCAGAGTCAACGCTTTTTTGTCAACTATTTGTGAGAACACCACTAAAAAATGTACACATCAACCCCAGCCGCACCAGAATTAGCACGGCTCCCCGTTTTAAAGAACCATTTCCCCTGGTGAGTAAATACAGTGTACAAATTAGAAGGTATTATCATTACAGGGGCACCTGGTTAACAGGGGCGCATTATATATGCAGGTGGGACACCTAGTAGAAACTGTGGAATGTTCCAGTACATTAGCTGGTACGTGTTTTATTGGAGTTGTGAGAGAGAATTAATGTGGTTACTTCTGTTCGTTATCTTTAATACAATTGTGGAGAGAGACAGGTTATGGAGTTTGAAGTAACGTGTTATCTTTAGCTTAACTTTATCAATCATATATTATATATAAAAGTTGGAACTTGAATATTATAAATATGATGTAACATTCAAACATAACATGTTATCATTTGTATTTTATAACACTATCATATGGCTTAGTCCTGGTTGTTAAAACGGAATCGAGAATTTCGGCCGCTCAAACAAAGTCCAAATGGATTAGGAGTTTGATTCACGTGGGAAGACAGATTATATTTAAACTTTAAATGAAACTCGCACACCGGTTTTACTGTGCAACAGGAGAATACGTTCATCAATTGTAAAACTGAGACTACGAGCAGACGACTATTCAGTACTGAGCGTACTACTCGGGCCGCATAGGGCTAGGCACACAACTTAGCACGGCGCATCATGTCAACTCACAATTTTCATTCTTTTCTTTTAAGATTAGGGAGTATTATTAATTTGTGGGATGTTGCTGTGATGTCGCAATGTTGACTGCTGTTTGAAGGAGCACAACAGTCGCCATCTTAACAACACACTAGCGCGAGGAACTCACGAATCACACAATTTCTTTCTTTCTGATGTGAAAATATAATATGATTAAATACACAAATTTGCATATTTAATTATCACTGTTGCAATTATTTCTCAAGTTCATTCTCACCCCATTATCTCACTCTCTCATTCGTGCCACTTGTAAAACTATCGGCGTTCAGTAGCTAGTATCACTTAATTATCAGTAGTTAAATTCAAATTACTGTTAAATTATCACTTAATTAGATCAATTAGCAATGAATAATTACTCAATAAATCTGGAATCACTTACGTTAGATCCCATTATTTTTCTGAAACTACTTCTGAGATTATTTATTGACTTGTTAACCTGAAAAGGATGAAAGGTGTTAAGTTTGAACCACAAATTTTACTCTCATTTATAATTTCAGCCTCGAAAGTTACAGCTAAAATGCCAAGATAACAACTATTAAACGAGTGGGATTAAAAAGATAAGATAAGGAATTGCGCGCAAGAGATAAGCAGTAATAGTCAGTTGTAGGTGTGGAATGTAACTCGTCAGTTTAAAATAATTTCATTATAACAAAATTAAAACTTGGCCAGGCTGATTAGAATCGAAATTTAAATACTATCCTCACAATTTTAGAACGGATTTAAAAAGAGATATCAAAATAAAGATGTCAATCAACACCAATTTGAATGATTTTGATGTTCCCATAATCTTATGTCAGTCGGCACTTATACAAATTGAGTCGGTCAATATGTCTACTCTCCACATTCCACAGCCATGACTCAATGTCAGTCTGTCAGTCTAGTACACACTGAAAAGGTTAAACAATAAGGGCGCTATCATTACCTGACCAAGGTTTGAGAGACGGAAGAATCACACAAAAAACGAAAAGTGATCGTTAAAAACGTCCGTAGTTATCTCATCACCTAAATCAGTGAACCACGTGACACAGACGTAACCAATGAGAACCCGCCACCGGTCAGAGTACAAGGTGAAATGTAACGCTGACAGGATTTGATAAGGGTATTAAATTATACCCCCTTTTAAACATGAGACTGACCTCGTGGGAGGTGGCTGACCACGAGGGCCGTGCTGGGAGTCGTTTGATTGGTGTAGTTCTGAACGAATCAGTAGCAGTAGTTCACAGATGGTTTCATTTAGGACCTTTGTTTCATTTTTGTTAATGAATAGCAGATGGTAGGATCTAGAAAAAACCGAGAAAAGTCTAGAAAAATTGGGTCAATCGTGAACATAGCCAGAACTGGTGCGATAAGAAGTGTTTTCTCATTTTCTAAGACGTTCACCGGCGCCAGATTTCCATTCATTAACATTATCGGAGTTATTATTAGCTCTTTTATCCTGGACTCATAATCAGTTCTTAATCTTTAAACGGTTTGATAAGCGGCCATTTTGGTCGTGATTTTAACTTTCAAACAGCTGAAAAAACATGTAATATTTAACACGTTTGTGCAGTTTAATTTTGTGCAATATAATTTTAAAAGGAATTAACACACAATTAAAAAAGAAGATACTTTTCATACTTTCAGATATCCTTGATGACAGCTCCCACAGCTTTCAAATATAATACAAAACTTTTTTTATAACAAAACGTATCTTTCTTAAAATCACAGACCGAAATTTAAGCTGAATTTGTCAGATGAACTGAAGGCAGGGCTAATTTAATGAAAAGTTCGGTTCGGTCACACCAATGAAATTGCAGCTTAATATTGACACTTGACCCTTATTTTAAATTCGACTACAGTTTTTTAAACAAACAGGTATGATATGTTTCCTTCCCTTTTTAGCATGACGCTGGCTCTAAATTTGTGAGCCTTATCAAGTACCTATGGTGCAGTTTAAGGGGGCCTCATCTTAAATCAGATACTTCATAACTACCGCTAGGCCCTATCAGATTATGTGTTATAAATTTAGGAACAGTTTATTCTAATCTCGATGCAAAGTAAGGTAGTCAGATTAGAGGCATATGGCGCTTTTACCAATATGCCCTGAATATCAATAATTTCAAATTCCCTGAATGGCTAATTCGGATACCTGTGTAAAACGATCAAGATAATGGTAAGTAGTTTGGTCGGTAATCTGTCCCCTTGGAGTCTGGTTGGTTAGAAAATAATATCAACATTGTCAGTCTGAAATTAAAAAAAAAAGAAAGAGGACAACAAAAAAGTGGTGGAGTCAGGATTTAAGTTAAAAGTTTAGGGTCTGAGGAATCAAAACTAAAAATATAAATAAACAAGGCAGAACTTACTTTTTTGGAAAATGTTCTGTTGTTGTCTGCTGTTGGTGTTTGGGTTGTTTCTTTTTCGTTTTCTTCTGTTTCTTCCTAAATGTTTAACGAATAAGTATTGAAATATGAGGAGTTATTCTAAGAAAACAGCTCAGAAATTGAATCACATACATGGTAATTGATACGATAATAAATATAACATGTAACATTGTAACGGCATCCTTTGAATTGTTAAAATACCACAAAAAATACTTAAGTTCTGAAAGATTGCGCTTGTGATCATGAATATTTCATGTAACGTCAAATTATTGAAATACCAAGAAAACGAATTCCAGAAGCGGAATATCGAAAAACGAAATTTATAAAAGTAGATTGAACCCAACCCTAGACTATATCTGATCATATCCCCGTCAAGATGAATATTGAATATCTTAGCTACACGCCCACACACACCCACACATTATACGTTATAAAACAAACAAGATGAGACAATATAAACAATATAAAGAGAAACTGTTAAACAACCGACCAGCTAACTAAGCACAATAGAATCTAATCAAAGAGGGGCTAATATCCTGTTGCTGTAGCTGCACAAACTAAGTACAGGGTCCGCTGCTGGGGATCAGAATGTATTTCATCCTGATATTGGAATGCTCGCTGGAATGCAGATAAGTCGGGACTGATGGGGAGGTTTAATATTGCAAATATTTAACTCATGATCTTCAAAATACCCGGAGCTAAATAGCTGACACTGTATACGACAAAATAGTTCTCTGTTATAGAGCTGCTGCTGGCTGCTGCTTCTTCAACTACTCATTCTTAACTTTTGGAATGTTTCCAGAATTGATTGTAAGATGAGGGACTCTAGTAGAAATTATTCAGAAATTACAACAGTGATTTGTCTTATAATCGAGTACTCTGATAACTTATAATATAAATGTTGGGAATGTTACAAATACTGAGATTTTAGAAATCTACGGCTGCAGCAGGTCGAATACCTCGCAAATACCGAAGCAGCTCTCAGTATGAAGAAAGGAAACGTTCGTGATTTGGAGGCGGTGTAACTGAATCATAAGTAACAATCGACAAGCAGCTTATATTAGGGGGACCGGCGGAATGTAATGATGATGATAGGGCAGCTCTCTCGTAATGATATAAAATATGAAAATAATGATATGAAAATATGCAAACAGTGGAGCTGGTGAGGGGGTATTATTATTATTATTATTGGACATCCTCCTCTCCCACGCTCTCATGTTTACGTTATCCACCAGCAGAACATCCGCCTTACAGGCACATTTCAGTGTCACCATAGTGCTAAGTATCTGCCATGCTGCCAAGATGTAAGGCTGCCAGGCAGCCACTACGCGGTTATTTCAAGGATATTCTCTGGATAGAATTGCTGGGCCAAAAACTGTTAAAATACTCGTGCAAAATACCTGAACAAACACAACAAAACTAGCAGATATGCGCTCGATACTGATCCTCGAAATCAGGGCTCCGTTACAATTTGTCGGATAATACTATTGTTACATATCACCGTAACAATTACCAGAACTCGTCATACCTTCAAACAACACTATAAATTACCTACTATCTGCCACACTTCCAACTGATGGAAGATCTAGGTGATGGTCCTATTTGAGCAGTCCAATCAGACTCAATTAACGTACAATTAGCTGGAAATATGGACAATAAGCTGGTAACAGAGGCACGTGGACCCAATCAAGAGAGGCAAGTGGGAGCAATGTGTAACTAATTGGACCTCATCAAAGTATTGTGGTGAGTTTGTGTGTGTAATTATGGCAATTTGATGAGGAATTCATAAGCAAATTAGGTGAGTATGACTCATTAAGGTACGCTACTTGGTCGAGAGATGAGAATATCCCGCGCAATGTTGAGATAACCATAGTCTGTTGGGAGACAAACGACATGCCCACAAAAACGATTAGCCTCGTTTGTGTGGTCCACGATTTAGAAAAGTCACGAACGAAAAGTCACGTACAAATGGTTACCAGTTATCAGACAAAGCAATCGGCAGAGTCATTGAAGTAGTTCCATGCGTAACACTAACTTATTACTCAGCGAATGAGTTACGCCCTCAAGCAATGCCATATGGCCGGCGCGGTATGTCGTTATGATCAAAATAAAACGTGATCAAATGGCAAGTACGGCGCCAACTGTAATGAAATGTCACATACTGTATTGGAAACTTAGAGATTTACGGAATGGGAGTGCATGGCTAACTGTGGGCTAACTGTCATCCAGAGAACGATTTTAGTTCGAATTCCAGATAAATGGTGGTTACTCATGATATGCAACTAGCCTCCTTTGTCCTGAAATTGATTGGGCACTTAGCTCTTCGTGCTCTAAACTTCACAAAATCACGTACAATTAAGATGGCATTCCTCACTAAGATGCATGGTGAGGATGAAGCTAGTTCGACTTTTGACGACATTTGCCGAGCAGCGATAATTTGATCTGTATTGAGATAGAATTATAGGAATCAGGACTGGGAGGATCAAGCTACCTGGTGGTATTCTCCGATACAACTAATATTGTGTCTACAGTTAACAGTGTTACTCTACAATCTGTTGAGACAATTTATTAGTGCAAATGAAAACAAGCGTAAAATAAAAGAATACTAGGGTATAATATTCAGAGATCTGTTACACCTCGTTATATTCGTTATAATACCAATATTTTGCTATTATGCTACTATGTAATCTCAATACACATTACACTATGACCATTCACCATGCTACTGTAAACCTATCCCTACTAAACTAGTATTATTCTACTATTATAATACTACTATTATAATACTACTATTATAATTCTACTATTATAATACTACTATTATAATACTACGACAACGTCTACATAACTGTTACGCTACTCTAATGCCGAGTATTAAATCTATGCCGCACTCTACAACTAAGTGATATCATATGTGTTGAACTGTAAATGAGGCGGGCAGAGCGTAAGGTCAGCTCTTAACAGGTCAGCACAGAGTAGCCAATACCACGAACAACTGTCATCCTCTGGACTGTTAGACGAGCATAAACTGCCGCTAAAACCTTCAAAGCTGAAAAACTTACAGCTTATTTTAGCTCTGATAAACGTTAATGAAAGTGAAGCCTTGAATCTTGAGAATGTTTCCATTATGACACATAGACAGCTTCAATAAAATTACAATTCTTAAACCTTCAAAGCGTATAAAACTTAAACCTAAACTTAATGACCTCAACAAAGAATCTACCGAACTATAATTCTGAGAATGGCGTACGAGCATAGTGACAAACACAGAGTGACATTCTCACACAGTGACATTCTCACACAGTGACAAACGAATGACAAGGTAACATGAGCAGTCTCGAATTATAAATCACGAATAGACGTTACCATCATAGCTGATTATCATTGGAAGTCATGATACAAGATTACAAGATAAAACCTGTTATTTGCAACAAAAGAAATGAGGGCAGTGGTTTACAATAAAGTAGGGTAATCTGTCTAATTCTTATCAGTCTCATGTTATACACCTAACTATGATCTGGTAACTCTTCCTTACTGTTACACGCGAGAAAATAGAATAAAGCTATGAACTAAATAGAACTAAAATAGGCTATAAAACCTAAATAAAAGCCATGTTTCCAGAATTAACTAGAGGTAGTTAACTCGAAAGAGTATAATCACGAACGAAGAGGACGAATATTAATTAAGAGAGACTGGGGACATATATAAGAGATAGTGAATGTATGGTCTGAGGTCCCTTCATGGGTATTACACATATTAAACTAGGGCAACAGGTGCAGTTGCCACAGCTGGTGGAGTCTAGCTCATAAAGTTATAATATACAATTTGGGGCAAACGAACAGAGAGGCCAGAGTTAGCGTCAATGACCTTCTCCTGGTCCGGCTAAACTCTCACAGAAAACAGCGCAAAGCTAAATAAAGCACAAAGTTAAATAGAGACCCACCCGTGACTTCGATGATGGCGTACACATAATATTAAAATAATATATAATATAATGTAATATAATAAAATAATATTATTTAAGGGTAGACATAATATGTTATTATACACGGGTACCCATACTTGTGAATATGTTCAAAGATACTGCCGCGGTAACTTCCTCTAGTGGTACTTTTACAGGATGACTCACAAACTGCCTTACATGACCTCAACCCTACTCTCACATCAAGAACTTGACGATATCGAACATTTCACGGAATGTTTCAACCTACTAGAACATGTGAGGGTAACCTGAATATGCCAGAATAACTCGCAAATCAAAATTTTGTCACTTGATACTGAATCCATCAGCCGAATGGTCGAAATTCTTAGTGATGATCTAAATTCTAAATACGAGCGCTACATTCACAAGGATGAAATCATAGCGCATACAGTCTGTAGAGAATTAGCCTAGAGGTCTGACCGCAGAACTAAATATTTCAAATTAGAAGTGTAACAACTTACAGCTTGGGAAAAACAAAACCGCCAAAACTCATGAAAACTGCCCACAAAAGTTGAACATCAGTTAAAAATGACATATGTAAACCAAATTAACAAGGACAAGTGGTTCAGTCCTCGCCCACATCACCCACAAATAACTGAGAAAAGAGGAGAGTAGGTTTAACCTGAGACAGCTGTTCTCGGCGAGCAACGGGACCCTCTGACACGACACTCTTCCATTGGTCTGCCTGGTCATGTGATCAGAACAGAGGGTTGTGATTGGGGGGAGAAAAATGGCAAGGTAGGTAGTAAAACAAACAATTTTAATTGCGGTACGACCCTTCCTATTGTCGCCAACCAATGAGAAGCCAGTATTTAGTCACGTGGGGTGGCGATTCTCCAATCAAAAGCAAGGATAGTGTGACATGACGTCATCCGCATCCTTCTGACAAGGTTTGTTTTGATAAGAAACTAAGTGCATGGTACTGAACCACTGCATACTAGCTAAACACGGCCAAACTAAAAAGCAACCTTCGTTTAAGAGAGCACGTATAATACATACTATTCTCAGAATACCAAGCTGATGTTCCGCGGTAAAGAGACCATTAAAGTCTGCTCAGAGCAAGAAACAAGACTCA